CTATATTGCCTGTGTAGTCTTGAAGCTGCGGCCAAGACACACAACCCTCTGAAGACCCATGAGCTGTTGGTCCCCTGCTCTTGAGAGAAGTGCTGTGTGAGGTCTGAGCTGAGGCCAGACCCCACAGCCAAGACCCTCGCTGTTGATCCTGGAAAGCTGACCCTGTCTGCTGATCACTGGTTGTCCCTGGAAAGCTGACCCTGCTGCTGATTGCTGCGAGGGTCCCTGTCTACTGTTCGCTGCTGTCCCTGGAAATCTGACCACTGTTAGGGTCCCTGAACCGTGAGTGTTCCTGCACATTGTTTGCTGGATGCCCCTGAAAACTACCTGCCATGAGTGCCCCTACAAGCCGCATGTGGCAGAGTGTGGAACTATCCTTATTGTGCACCCCTTTGCCCTTGCCCAGACTGTCTTATGGTGTACCCATATCATTGTACGCCCTGTCTGGACTGCCCCATTGTACGCCCATATTTCCCTTGCCTGGACTGCCCCCCATTGTACTGCCCATTGTATTCCCATATTTCCCTTGCCTGGACTGCCCCATTGTACGCCCATATTTCCCCACTGCCCCATTTATGCCCCTTGCCTGGACTGCCCCATTGTATTCCCATATTTCCCTTGCTTGACTACCCCATTGAATTCCCATATTATACTTGCCCAGACTGCCCTGTGAAACACCCCTATGCCCCTTGCCTGGACTGCCCCATTGAATACCTGAACTATTGCTTGCTTGAATGGCCCTATTGTGTATCCGGATTAATACTTGTGTGAACTGCCCCTATTGTGATTAATACTTGCCTGAACTGCCCCTATTGTGCACCCGGATTAATACTTGCCTGTGCCCCTATTGTGCACCCGGATTAATACTTGTGTGAACTGCCCCTATTGTGCACCCGGATTAATACTTGCCTGAACTGGCCCCCCTTTTGTACCCGGATTAATACTTGCCTGAACTGCCCCTTTTGTGTGCCCGGATTAATACTTGTGTGAACTGCCCCTATTGTATTAATACTTGCCTGAACTGCCCCTATTGTGTACCCGGATTAATACTTGCCTGAACTGCCCCTTTTGTGCACCCGGATTAATACTTGCCTGAACTGCCCCTTTTGTGTGCCCGGATTAATACTTGCCTGAACTGCCCCTATTGTGCACCCGGATTAATACTTGCCTGAACTGCCCCTTTTGTGTGCCCGGATTAATACTTTGTGAACTGCCCCTATTGTGCACCCGGATTAATACTTGCCTGAACTGCCCCTATTGTGTACCCGGATTAATACTTTGCCTGAACTGCCCCTATTGTGCACCCGGATTAATACTTGCCTGAACTGCCCCCCGGATTAATACTTGAACTGCACCCTATTGTGGATTAATACTTGCCTGAACTGCCCCTTTTGTGCCCCGGATTAATACTTGTGTGAACTGCCCCTATTGTGCACCCGGATTAATACTTGTGTGAACTGCCCCTTGTGCACCCGGATTAATACTTGCCTGAACTGCCCCTATTGTGCACCCGGATTAATACTTGCCTGTGAACTGCCCCTATTGTGTGCCCGGATTAATACTTGTGTGAACTGCCCCTTTTGTGCTGCCCGGATTAATACTTTGCCTGAACTGCCCCTATTGTGCACCCGGATTAATACTTGCCTGAACTGCCCCTATTGTGCACCCGGATTAATACTGTGCCTGAACTGCCCCTATTGTGCACCCGGATTAATACTTGCCTGAACTGCCCCTATTGTGCACCCGGATTAATACTTGCCTGAACTGCCCCTATTGTGTGCACCCGGATTAATACTTGCCTGAACTGCCCCTCTTGTGTACCCGGATTAATACTTGCCTGAACTGCCCCTCTTGTGCACCGGATTAATACTTGCCTGAACTGCCCCTCTTGTGTGCCCGGATTAATACTTGCCTGAACTGCCCCTCTTGTGTGCCCGGATTAATACTTGCCTGAACTGCCCCTCTTGTGTGCCTGGATTATTGTAGCTACCTGGCCTGCCCCACTGAATGCTCGGATTATCGCTACCTGAATTGCCCTATCGTGGGCTGGATTATCACTGTTTGGACTCCTCCCCCCTTTTTTAGTACCCACCCGCTACCCTTGTTACCCTGATTGAGTGTCTCTCTTACTTCAATAAAACGTTGTGTGTTTATCATCCTCCCGTGTGTTCTGTCCCGCCTACGCTTCCGTCACAGGCTGCATGTATGATGTGACATTTGTGACCAAGGTTTGAGGGATTGCTCATTGGTATGTTCTTCACCCAAGTTTATCCAGACAAATAGGACACTGGCAGCCACAGCCCAGGAGACTGATAGGGAGTAGAAAGAGCCATGGTAAGGCTCAGGAGCAGGGGCCACAAGAATGAGGGGCCACCTTTCCTGCCAAACAAGGAGGCAGATGTTAGGATGGCTCCATTATGCCCATAGGCTACTGCACCCATTTTGACCATGGGCTTCAAACATTAAAGCAAAATATATAACATTTGTCATTAAGGCAACATTCCAAAAAGGATTCAATAGGTTATAGAAGGGTCACCCAGGGAAAAAAATGGGTTGAATCAAATATAAATGTTCCCCAAAATATTTCCAAAGCCAAACGCATGTAAATGCACCCAAAAGAATTGTTGATATAACTGTTGATCTGAAGAGACCAAGAGCAATGCATCCAAAACTCCTTTAATCACTTTTAAACCGCAGGTCTCCTGCAAACTCAATGTGAAAAAGAAAATAATGAACTCATGTGGCAGTCTCAGAGTTACTTGATCTTGTATCTGAAAACATTAAACAGCCTTTCCAGATGATTGGAAGCTGAGCTACAAAGGGCGGGACTACTCAATATTGAACCCTACGGACTAAGACTGGGATGTCATTGAAGTTCATGTGTGTGGAAAGGAAGTCATCCCAGCAGTGTTGGCAATATAGTGTATTTGTCAATGAACTATAGATTAGTCTTTATGATGCCTTTTGGGCTTTAGGTGCTTCAATCCTGAGATTCTCGGTGGATAACTCTGACAAAGGAATAGATCTTCCTGCTAGTCATGTGATGTGCCAAAACAAAGCAGTCTAATTATCGGCCCCAAGTTTACATGAGAGGCCCAAAGCATTAGTTAGGTTCCAGTTTTTTTGGGGGGAGGGGCACTGTAAAATGATTTGACTCTTTTCCTGGAATCAGGAAAATTAAATTGTGTTATATTATTTGGATCTGGTTGGGTTTTTGGGCTTCGGGAAAATGGCCCCAAGAATACTCAGTCTTGGTATGTATTTGATTTGGCCTCTACATTTGGAGCAATAGGAGAATGGTCGCCGTCACTTGGAACTTGACAATTGGGTGAGTAGCTACATTTCTTGATGTTGACCTCAAGTTTTTCCTATGCTGAAGTCCCAGATCACATGATGAAACAAGTCAGGAGAGGGGCCCACTAGACATTACTGCCAGCAGGGTCAGCACGGCTTTTATAACCACTTGCCTACCGGCACTTAGACCCCCTTCCTGCCCCGGACAATTTTCACCTTTCAGCGCTGTCACACTTTGAATGACAATTGTGGTCATGCAACACTGTACCCATATGACATTGTTATCATTTTATTCACACAAATAGTGGTTGCTTCTGGTGGTATTTAATCTCTGATGGGTGGTTTTGTTTTTTGTACTATAAACAAAAAAAAAAAAAGAGCTAAAAATTTGAAATTAAAAAGTTTTTGTCTTTGTTTCTCTTTTTCAAACAGGTAATTTTTCTCCTTCACTGATGTGTGTCGATGAGGTGGCATGGATAGGCAGCACTGATGGGCACTGATAGGCAGCACTGATCTGCACCAATGATGGGCACTGACTGGCAGCACTGCTGGGCTCTGATCATCAGGTCAATGATCATCAGTGAGCTGGTGATCGGTGCTGATCTGTTCTCTGCCAATTGTCGGTTATCTGCAGTACTTTCCTCCCACTGTGACAGCATGAGGAAAGTGCAGCTATAACCGGCAACTGCATTTACCGGTGATCTGCCGTGATCACGTGGTAAAAGGCCGCTGTGATTGGCCTTTTACCACATCATGTGATCAGCTGTGTCCGTAGGACACAGCGACCCCTGAGATGGCTGGGTGTGCACCCCCAGGGGCCTGTGGGAGGGCGTGTTCTGGGAGGATGTTGTATGACGCCCTCCCCAGACTGTAGCCAAATGACAGCTACAGTGCGGGTGACAAGTGGTTAAACACTACTCTGGAAATCAGCATCCTTAAGGGGCCAATAAACTCATTGAATGGAAATGTAAACAATCATGAGCTCTTTTTGGGCTTTATTTTTAACAAGGATTTGCCTGGAGACCTTAAAATGAGACTTACTGATTCCAAGTGAAGTGGAGGAATGTTGCCAGTTCTGCCACCCATAGTGGTGACCAAAGTGTGTTTGACCTTCCCTTTGTGTGGCTCAAACCTGAAGGTGAGCGGCACGATTGGGAGGTGATGGGTCCCTGTAGTGGATCATTTCCTGTATATTGAGCAGGCATGATATATGATGTCACTAAACACCAAACACATTGGATATTCTGGGACTGTCAGAGTTGAGCATGTTGACGTTGGTCAGATTACATGTATGTGTTTACATGCGTGGAATGTTTTTGTGTCTGGGAGAAGTTGTGAAGTTGCGAGGACGAGTCTGATTTGGAACGCTCAGGAGATGTCAGCTAGTTAGTGATGTTTGGAACTTTATTGCCCTCATCAGTTAGTTCCCCCATTTGGTTTGGTGGGGTTACCTGCTTTTCTTGGTTCGGGGAAACTGGTCCCAGGACATTTGGCAGGGATTAGACACATTTCTGTGTGGTAACAGTTTTCACACTGATTTCTCTAGGGGTTTGAGTGCAATACAGTGAGGAACCCCAAAGAAATCCAGCGTGTTGTGGAGATATATTTGTGTTCACACAGAGTTTAGCATTGGTTTGTTCTGCATTCCTAAGAGGATGCTCATTGGCTCATCCTGAGTGATTATGATTGTTGTAGACAAGCACATTAATACATACCCAGATCTTCCTCCATTCCTGGCTGCAGTGGGGGGAGCCGCTCCTCCTCCTCCTCCTCCTGCTGATGTTGTGCTGTGAATAGGACATTGACATGTGTGAGATGTTTGATGTTCTAGCAGTCTGTTCAACATTACGGGGGGGGGGGCATTCCCAATGAGTGCTTACCAGGAGGGAACATCTCTTCATCAGCGTATGTGTGATCTGGCTTGTCCTCTGATGGGCTGGCTGGGGCTGCCCCTGCCTCGGGATTGGCTACAACACAAGACAAAATGAACAACAAATGGTAAATGTTAAAAAGATAACACAACTTTGAAGACACAATATGGACATGTGTAGTGTACTTACCACTCTGCCAGTCATCAGTATCTTCATGAGCCGTCACCCCAAAAATCGTGTTGAGACCAATGATTGGCAGAAGTGCCCGTTCTGCCTGAGACAGTTCCTGCAGATGGTCAGGGTCCCACCCGCCTTGTAACATGTCCCTGCCGAGCCCACAGAGTCAGCTTCTCCTTTAAATTCCACCTCAGATCACGCATATGCTTCTTCACATTCTTGGGGTACCGGCGTACCATCCTGCCCACTGCATTTACGGCCACCGTGATTTCCTTCCACAGACGGTCCTTTGCTGCCTTACCGCTGCGGTAGGACCTGGGCCCCGAGATGCATTCAGCCCGTTCTACATAAGCAACCACCATGGCCCAGATCTCATCATGGGAGAAGGGTGGAAAATTGGGCTGGGATTGGGCCTGGGCCTGGGACCTTCTGCCTCCCCTTGATGTCCCTTCTCCTGGGCTCAAAGGGGATACAGCAGCCCCAGGTGAGGTCCTCAACTTAGCTTCCGCCTTTTTTCTGAAGGAAGACTGGCCCCTTCTGCCACCAGTTTGTGACCCCTTCACACCACAGTCAGACCTCTGGTCCACCCTAGCCCTAATGGACCCCTGGGCCCCAGTAGCTCCCCTGGCATCATGGCCAAGGTGTGGCCCAGTGTCCCCCCTGGCACCATGGCTCCCCCTGGAAGCCTGGCCTTTTTGCCCCCTTGGGGGTGCCATGGGAGGAAACGTGGGCAGGGAGTCTGGCTGGATGCTGTTTGCAGCAGCAGTGGGTCCTAAGTGGTGGGATGTCCGTGTGTTAGTGTGGAAATCTGCAACAGAAAAAGGGACATAAGGGCAAGGGTCAGTTGTCTGGGTCAAAAGACTGGAAGAATTGCTCTGTCAGAGATTTTGCAAGACCAGGGCATGGGAAAGAAGGTCCAAGACCCAAAAATGCCAAGTCAAGCAACGTCTATGGTGAAAATCAACATTTTTCTGCCAGCTGAACCCCAGAACCTCCATAAATCCAGTCTAGATACATAAATTGTGTCTGCAGCACAGAGAAGGAAGATTATCCGAGAGAAATCCAGGAATACAGGACGGGGAACACAGCTCAGGAAAGTGACCAGGGGATTACAGGCTGATATCACCCAGTCCCGCCCTACTCTGGACCAATCAGTGAGCAGTATGGGTGGAGGAATGGATTTAGTGTTCATGACCCACCTGTGCTGATCTCTGTAGGAGTGTCCTCCTCTATAAATGTCCCCGTTATTCCATCCTCCTCCATAGACTGCTGATCATCCCTCACATACGCCTCTTCTTCTTCTGCTTTCACCTCAAATTCTATATCGATTGGATCTCCACTCTAAATCAAGGAAATGAGAGAAAATATCATCTGTAATTTATAAACTCACATTAAAAAATCCACAAATTGTCTTCATCAGTCCGAGTTCTAGATACTCCATCCCACCGACCTTGCAATACTGAGGGATGGTGTGACCTTCCTGTGTGGAATCCCGGGAATACAGAGGACGGGGACATCTCTCTGGTGGGTTCCTGGTATTAGGTGGCTCCATCATATCCTTGTGTCCTTCTGAAAACTCCTCCATCACTCCATACTCCTCATCCTCCTCTTTATACTCTTCTTTAACATCATATTATCATCCCCGAGGATTCCACTCTGAAAGATATAATAAAACATTCATTGTAACAAACATGCTGTGTATAAATCACAACTACCAATAATTGTCATCATCTACCTGATGATGGTGAGGGATGGTGTGACCTTCCTGTGTGGAATCCCGGGAATACAGAGGACGGGGACATCTCTCTGGTGGGTTCCTGTAGCTGGATGACTCCACCATGGTGTCCTGGTACAGATCTTTGTGTTCTCTTAGAAGCTCTGACTCCTCCATCCCCCCATCCTCATCCTCCTCCTCTTTTATCTCTTTGTTAACCTCAACTTTAGGATCTCTCAGGTTTCCACTCTGAATATATAATAAAAATGACATCAATGGTAACAATGCAGATAATGTACAGATCCTAATGATACTATCAGTGATTGTTCCTCATCTACCTGATGATGGTGAGGGATGGTGTGACCTTCCTGTGTGGAATCCCGGGAATACAGAGGACGGGGACATCTCTCTGGTGGGCCTGGTATTAGGTGGCTCCATCATCTCCTTGTGTCCTTCTGAAAACTCCTCCATCACTCCATACTCCTCATCCTCCTCTTTATACTCTTCTTTAACATCAATATTATCATCCCCGAGGATTCCACTCTGAAAGATATAATAAAACATTCATTGTAACAAACATGCTGTGTATAAATCACAACTACCAATAATTGTCAACTGATGATGGTGAGGGATGGTGTGACCTTCCTGTGTGGAATCCCGGGAATACAGAGGACGGGGACATCTCTCTGGTGGGTTCCCATGACTGGATCCATCTGTAGGAAACACACACACTGACTGAATCCATTGTTTCTATGTGTTTATCAGATGATGGGGGATCTAGGTGGATCCTCCGTACTGCTCTCTCCTTTACAATAAAGTCTCCTCTTACCCGGTGATGTGAGGGGTGGCTGATTGCAAGTCCCTGATGAAGTCACATGACAGTGACGTAACGCGTAGGTCGGAGAACGGAATGTGGTGACGTCATTTCTGACATGAACGGCCACAGCCATATTGGTACACCCAGTACACCCATATCAGCACATGTGATTGGTGCGTTGTTTGATCTGTTCCCATGTAAGTCCTCATTTGTCTTTACAATAAAATGATTCATTTATAACATCACACTATGGAAGGACTTGTTCTTGTCTCCCTGGGAGTGCTGTGAGCCGGCTGTTCTTTCTGGTCCAACAATCCCCTGGCAGGAGTTCTGTGCACTGGTGGATTTCCGTGTCCAAAGGTGAAAGATCTATTACCACCGCTGAGCAGTATGGTCCACCAGTGAGGGGATATCATCCCTACATCGCCATTTGGGATTCCACTTAAAGGGCCCCTGCAGGGAGTGTCCTGAAAGCCTTTTGGCCCCTTGGGGTCTGGGCACAGAGGTGAGGAGGCAATGTAGCCGGTGTGGGATTCAACAATCATTTACCTATCCACGTTGTGGTTTGTTTTTTTATGTGTTTTTGTTGGACATTTTTGCACATGGACTTTATGTCTTTTTTACAAATTTTTTTAGTCACATGTTATTTATTTCTTCATTGTGTTATTGTATTTGCGGTGCTCAGTAATCCATTCATTTGGTGTCGCTGTGCGTTTATATCACCATTTCCTCTTTTATACTAGCCGCACTCTATATATGTTTGCCACATTTATTGATGGTATTTCTATGGTCACTTATTAGTCGGTTTATGTCACATGGCCTTTGTTGCACATTGTGGTGACTCTTTAGTCGCACGGTCACAATGTTTGGCCGCGCTGTGCGTTGTTATTGTCATTCTTCTGTGATAAGTGGTTTGTACACTTTTCATATTAAGCTCTTCATTTTGTATTTTTCACATTTTGCTCCACTTTCTCCTCAGTTGTATTCACGTTATGTCATGTATGTTGTGACGGACTCCTATGTCCCACTATTACTGGGATTGAGTTCATATTTTATTTCTCCCGGATCATTTCCGTGCGTTTTGCCCGCGGTCACGATTTATTGTCTGTTACACCCTGTGGTCCTCATTTTGGACTTTTATGATTTCACCTTTCCCTTCTCTCCCATATTCCTTCCATTTACTGATGATGTTCTGGTGTATTCTCTGTTGTCTTCTCATCTCATGATTTGTATTGGAATATCTGCGGCATTATTGTGATTAGCGCAGCATCAATGTTCTGTCTGTTGTCTGTTACTAGTGGTATAGCCGGGTGTGCGCTGCGTCCCAATAGTCCCATCTTTTCTAGTAGCAGCGAAAAACGTTTTTTACATATTTTTACCCCCCATAACATTACTGTGTATATCTTTGACTCCTGACAACTATCCAAAAAAAAAGGAGAAAAGGGAGGGGGAGGGGAAGAAAGTAACACAACACCTCCATAGAGTAGTCACTTGTATCAAACATCAACTACAATGACATCCCAGCTATGAGGAGATGACTCCCAGTCACCATAGAGCCACAGGATAATACACCTGGGCCAGCCCGTCAAACACTTTGGGGGTATGAAAAAAAGTAGGCCCAGCCATTCATTGGAAGGCAGGTCTAAGGGTGTAAATATAGATAAAACAATCTAATATCTTATTCATCCCAACAATTTCAAAAAGGTATCTTACCAAAAAATGTTTATATTGGTGCTTAATTGATGGAACAAACGCACTTGTCCGGCGAGGAGACGACCACAACCGCAAAAGGGCATGATATAAGGATTGTGCCACGAGGATCATAAATCTGATAACCTGTACGGATTAACAGCCCTGAAAGAATGGCACTGGGCGGCTGTGAACCGAGGCCTATGTAGTGCCCCAGGCGAGGCACGTCTGTGTGTGACGCGTGACGTCACCGCGTCCGGCCATCAGTGATGACACCGGCGTGCTATGGCCATTCATGCTACATCACAGGCCTGCACAGGGAGGGACAGAAGGTCCCTACCAAGCCACGGACATTTGGACCCTAGCAAGGATACACAAGGGACACCACGGGCACCCGGCCGCACATCAGGCCCAACCAAGCCATCAGCCCAGTGAAAAAACAAAGGAGCAATAGCAGGTCCAGACCCCAGAGGCCAGGAGAGGGAAACAGCAGCAGGATGCATACACATATAAAGATTGATAATCATACAGCAATGTGCTGCAACAGCGTAGTATACAGAGATAGAAACAAAATAAATATCATAATAAAGGTTACAAAATGGACATAAGTTATAGCAAGGCTGGGAACTACATCAGTAGGGGAAGTAGCACACACAGCTGCAATGATTCCCACAATATAGGCACTGTATTTAAACAGTAACTTGAAGAAATTTACAGAAATATAAAGAGTTCATGGAAATGACAGAATTATAAAGGGATCACGGAAATGACAGAATTATAAAGGGATCACGGAAATGACAGAATTATAAAGGGATCACGGAAATGACAGAATTATAAAGGGATCACGGAAATGACAGAATTATAAAGGGATCACGGAAATGACAGAATTATAAAGGGATCACGGAAATGACAGAATTATAAAGGGATCACGGAAATGACAGAATTATAAAGGGATCACGGAAATGACAGAATTATAAAGGGATCACGGAAATGACAGAATTATAAAGGGATGACGGAAATGACAGAATTATAAAGGGATGACGGAAATGACAGAATTATAAAGGGATGACGGAAATGACAGAATTATAAAGGGATGACGGAAATGACAGAATTATAAAGGGATGACGGAAATGACAGAATTATAAGACGGAAATGACAGAATTATAAAGGGATGACGGAAATGACAGAATTATAAAGGGATGACGGAAATGACAGAATTATAAAGGGATGACGGAAATGACAGAATTATAAAGGGATGACGGAAATGACAGAATTATAAAGGGATGACGGAAATGACAGAATTATAAAGGGATCACGGAAATGACAGAATTATAAAGGGATGACGGAAATGACAGAATTATAAAGGGATCACGGAAATGACAGAATTATAAAGGGATGACGGAAATGACAGAATTATAAAGGGATGACGGAAATGACAGAATTATAAAGGGATCACGGAAATGACAGAATTATAAAGGGATGACGGAAATGACAGAATTATAAAGGGATCACGGAAATGACAGAATTATAAAAAGGGAAATGACAGAATTATAAAGGGACAGAAATATAAAGGGATGACGGAAATGACAGAATTATAAAGGGATGACGGAAATGACAGAAATTATAAAGGGATGACGGAAATGACAGAATTATAAAGGGATCACGGAAATGACAGAATTATAAAGGGATGACGGAAATGACAGAATTATAAGGGATCACGGAAATGACAGAATTATAAAGGGATCACGGAAATGACAGAATTATAAAGGGATGACGGAAATGACAGAATTATAAAGGGATCACGGAAATGACAGAATTATAAAGGGAAATGACAGAATTATAAAGGGATGACGGAAATGACAGAATTATAAAGGGATCACGGAAATGACAGAATTATAAAGGGATCACGGAAATGACAGAATTATAATTATAAGGGAAATGACAGAATTATAAAGGGGACGGAAATGACAGAATTATAAAGGGATCACGGAAATGACAGAATTATAAACACGGAAATGACAGAATTATAAAGGGATCACGGAAATGACACAGATTATAAAGGGATGACGGAAATAAAGGGATCACGGAAATGACAGAATTATAAAGGGATCACGGAAATGACAGAATTATAAAGGGATGACGGAAATGACAGAATTATAAAGGGATGACGGAAATGACAGAATTATAAAGGGGGATGACGGAAATGACAGAAATTATATAAAGGGATGACGGAAATGACAGAATTATAAAGGGATCACGGAAATGACAGAATTATAAAGGGATCACGGAAATGACAGAATTATAAAGGGATGACGGAAATGACAGAATTATAAAGGGATCACGGAAATGACAGAATTATAAAGGGATCACGGAAATGACAGAATTATAAAGGGATATAAAGGGACGGAAATGACAGAATTATAAAGGGATGACGGAAATGACAGAATTATAAAGGGATGACGGAAATGACAGAATTATAAAGGGATGACGGAAATGACAGAATTATAAAGGGATCACGGAAATGACAGAATTATAAAGGGATCACGGAAATGACAGAATTATAAAGGGATGACGGAAATGACAGAATTATAAAGGGATGACGGAAATGACAGAATTATAAAGGGATGACGGAAATGACAGAATTATAAAGGGATCACGGAAATGACAGAATTATAAAGGGATCACGGAAATGACAGAATTATAAAGGGATGACGGAAATGACAGAATTATAAAGGGATGACGGAAATGACAGAATTATAAAGGGATCACGGAAATGACAGAATTATAAAGGGGGATGACGGAAATGACAGAATTATAAAGGGATGACGGAAATGACAGAATTATAAAGGGATGACGGAAATGACAGAATTATAAAGGGATGACGGAAATGACAGAATTATAAAGGGATGACGGAAATGACAGAATTATAAAGGGATCACGGAAATGACAGAATTATAAAGGGATCACGGAAATGACAGAATTATAAAGGGATCACGGAAATGACAGAATTATAAAGGGATCACGGAAATGACAGAATTATAAAGGGATCACGGAAATGACAGAATTATAAAGGGATCACGGAAATGACAGAATTATAAAGGGATCACGGAAATGACAGAATTATAAAGGGATCACGGAAATGACAGAATAAAGGGATCACGGAAATGACAGAATTATAAAGGGATCACGGAAATGACAGAAATAAAGGGATCACGGAAATGACAGAAGGGCGGAACGATAAAGGGATGACGGAAAAGGGATGACGGAAATGACAGAATTATAAAGGGATCACGGAAATGACAGAATTATAAAGGGATCACGGAAATGACAGAATTATAAAGGGATCACGGAAATGACAGAATTATAA